TCCCTGTGTTTCCAGTTCCTATCTGTACCAGTGTACATCCTCTGGTCTAGCCAGACTTGCAAGGTAGAATTCGAGTCATGGTAGTGGGAACGGGGAGGAAGCATTTAGGAACTAGAGGAAAGTTGTATTTTTTATCTTTGCTACATCGTACTCTGTCTGGCACATCTCCTCCCTGAGACCCCAGAGGGGTTGCTTTAAGTCCTATATTTAACTATTAGAAATTTCACATGAGAGTGTAGAGGTAAACATTGAGAACTAATCTGACGAAGCAGAGAAGCCAAAGAGACTTGCCTCTTTGAAGTAAAAGCAGTGAGTGCCTAAAATCAGGGCCAGGGCAGAGAAAACGAAAGAGGAAGGATGCTGTTAAGTCTTGACAAGACATGGCAGCTACTGAACGATCCAAGTGGGATTCCGTTTTTTAATCAAAAGATAGAAGCCAATGATGGCAAGCTTTAAAGAAATAGGAAGTAATGTTTCTTGGGCAGTTTGGGACATATGGACTCTGAATTAAAGAGGTTCAAGAAGCATTAGACATTTGGGCCTGAGAATCGTCATGTCTAGAAAGAGCTTTGTGAATTAGCTACACAGCGGTGCGAGCGATGCAGGTCCGGGGACAAGATTGCCCAGAGAGCGCGACTCGTCAAAGGCTTGCGTGTGCGCAGTTCTCGTCCTTGAGGCGTCCTCGTCGGGCTGTGCTTCGTAGCGATGAAGGCCCTGCAGTGGACTAGAGTCCGGGCTTTTATTTTCCCTTTTGTGGGAATGAAGAAACTGGATTAGAGCTTTTCAATAATATATTCATGGTCACGGTATTCGAAATCAATGTGTTTAATAAAAGATTTAAACTCGGGAACACAGGTTCCTGGCTGCTTTGCAACCTTGAGGGTAGGACAGGACTTTGGGGAAGGAAGAAACCATGAGAATGACGGGCAGTTAAGACAAACAGACCAGCAGGGGTTGGAAATACAGAGTGAGACCAGCCGTGTCAAGTGCAGAGAGGAGACGGAGAAGAGTGGGGTGAGAGCTCGTTTGTGACCTGAAGTATGAAATTGAAGAGAGCCTTGGAGAAAAAACGAATGTTAACCCCGAGAAGCAAAGAAGTTAAAGTAAGAATCAAACCTTCCACTCGTGATTCTTAAGAGTGATTCCTTTTCTTTATTTTTCTTTAATTACCTGTGTTAGGGTTCTCTAGAGAGACAAAACCAGATTGCTAATAATTAGATAGATAGATAGATAGATAGATAGATAGATAGATAGATAGATAGATATGTAACGCAAGAAATCAACAGTTAAATTATAAAGCAGTACAAATGGCTCAGTACAATTCAAATGTGTTAGAGAGTTGTGAGACACTGGCAGTTCTTTAAGTCTTGAGGGCCACCGGGTAGTCCTCTGTAGAGAGAATCAGGCTATCCAGGCACAGGCAGCAAACAGCAAGGCAGGTCCCCAACAGTCAGTCAGGTCACCAACAGTCAGCTCCCAGCTCAAGAGATGTAAATTCCAATGGTGTGGCAAAGCAGGTCTTGAAGGAACGTCAAATTACAGCAACACGGTCCACAGGTTAGGCGTCCCACAGGTAGTGTAGCTTGCACATTGAGGCACAGACCAAGCCAGGCAGCCGCACACTGGTCCGATGATCAAAGAGTGAGAGACAAGAGAGGCGAGGCTCGCCAAGCCATTTATCTCTCCACCCTTCAATTAATTCCCCATGTGTTTATCGGCCGGGCTGGCACAATAAACTAACTACCTCATTACCTTTTGAGAACATGGCAGGGAGGTCATCTCTAACCTCCCCGGCCACAGAAGAGAGAAGGCAAATCCTGCTCCTCAGCAACCCACGGCCTGTTGCCTCGGGGCAAAAGTCAGGCATGCCTCCACTCGCCATCTTTCTTTACCTATTCGACACCAACCATTCCTCCCAAGATCCTCTACTTCTTTGTTGGGCGTGATACCCATTGCGAGGGCCGCATAGAACTCACAACCAATCCACACAGTGCATGGGCTTTATGAGGGAAGCTAACAGTCGGGATCAGTCACCACAAGTCAGAATCGGGAAACGGTAAGATTGCAGCCATTAGTCCACAGCCAGGAGCCAAGTGTCTCTCCAGTGCTTTGCCACACAGGTTTGGCACTGCTTCTCTGTTCTCTCATGGTCTCCTGGCTTCAGTCTCTCATCTTGGCCTGCCTCCTTTGCTCTGCCCGTGGTCTCCTTGCCACAGGCACAGATGCTTCTGGCCTCAGCCTCTACCGCTGCAGACAAAGATCTTGACTGTGCTCCACCGGTGGCTCTTCTTCTGATGGGCCGGGGATTTCTATCTGTCTCCCTGCTTCTGTGATGACTCAGTGCTATCTGGAGGTGTGGCTGTGGCTTTCAGCAAACTGTACCCCCAAGGAAACAAAAGGTGGTGACTTGAGTAATGTCCTTCACTGAGGTGGAGACTTGGAATATATCCCACCTTAATCCTGTAACAGAAAACTCTCTCCAAAAAGAGTTATAATCATGGGCATAGAGAATAGAATGTAGAATGTATCATATAAAGAATTAAGTAAAGCAGGGTGTTTTAGTCTGGGTGGACTGGAGAAATATCCAGAGACACGTTTATTTGTGTATAAGAAAGAACTTTATATTAAAGAGCAATTGCATATTGAGAAAACATTCCAGCCCAGTTCAGATCAAGTCCATAAGTCCTATTTTAGCCCAAATGTCCAATATCAGTCTGTAAATCCCTCTTCAGACTCAACCAATGCATGCAATGACGCCAAATGAAGGAAGATCACAGGCCAGTGGGTGGAAAGTCTTGTGGATCCAGTGGCAGTGGAAGCATCTCAGGGCTGGTAAGGGTCTCCATGTGGCTCCTTCAGCTCCAGGGCTCTGGCTCCATCAGTGTAACTCCATGTGAGCTATTTATCTCCTTAATGCTTCCAAATGAGGTAATCAAGCTATGACCTGATTAACAGGCTAAACCCCACCCCTTCGCTCTTCATAGTCTCAAGTTGACACCAGTTGTGCATGTGGAAGTTGGACATTGAGTAAGGAAGCCTGAAGAAGACATGACCCGGTGGCAGTTACATAATCTGCCAACTTGTAAAGGGGTGGGGTCTAACCTGTCAATCAGGTCGCAGCTTGATGACCTCATTTGGAGGCGCTACGGGGACAAATAGCTTGCCTGAGGTGGGACACATACACACTCTCCCTGTGAGATATTCCTGTTGACAAGCCACGTGATGCTACATTGATAGAGCCAGAGCCCTGGAGCTGGAGGAGCCATGTGGAGACCCCTGCCAGCACTGAGATGCTTCCACTGCCACTGTATCCGCAAGACTTTCCACCCACTGGCTGTGATCTTCCTGCATTCAGCGTCACAGCATGTGTCGCATGAGTCTGAAGAGGAATTTGCAGACTGGTAGTGGACATAAGGGCTAATATGGGATTTACAGACTTGATCTGGACTGGGCTGGGATGTTTTCTCAGTATACAATTGTCTTTTATATAAAACTCTCTCAAACATATATGACTATCTGTGGATTTGTTTCTCTAATCAACCCAGACTAACACAGACGCTATAGTAAAATGATTTACAAATTCCAGGCAGAGAAATTATATTGTAGCAATGGAGAAGTTCTACAGACAGGGCCCTTCCCTCCCTCTCCCCCAGTGCGGTGCATTCAAGTATATTAGTTGCATCTAATGATTTGATTTCATGGTCTCTGCTCCAGTGGTTCTTTCCCTCATACCAGGAATTGGAGGCCCAGGGAATAGGATACCGCGGAAGGTGGGAACTTCCTTTACATGATGACTGAATTGTCGGAACAAGGCCGAAGCTGACCTCCACAACTCCATGCTGATCTCTTGCCATGAGATTTTGTTTTAGGCAACTTTAAACGAGAAGGATTAGAATCCCACATCAGACTAGAAATGAGAGCTGTGGGGAGAGACCCGAATTACTGGTGTGAATACAAATAAGAATGCCTTCCATTTCCAGCCGTATCACATTGAGCAATTTACCTAACCTGCATGAATAGTTTCCCCTTGGAGAAGTTGGGAAAAACAGTCCTTCCCTGGCTCCCTCGAGACATTAGAAAAATCAAATGAAGAAGCAGTATGGGAGAACACTTTGAAAATTGTAAAATGTTATTTCCAAGGTCTTGTTCTTCCGCATTGGAATCAGAGTCTAGGATTATGTCACCAAGGAGCTTCATTGTCTTAGTAATCCTTATGCAGAAGCTCTGAACGAGGACCTGCATTTGGGTACGCTGGACATGAATATTTTATTTGCCAACAAATGCATTTGTGTCGAGTTAGAGCACCGGAGAGCCATGTTTTAAAGTGAATACAAGTTGGGAATAGCGCCAGGCTTTGGAATAAGAGGGGTATCCAAAGATTTAAATATTATAAATCAATAGATTTTTCTAATAACAGAGACAAATTCATCCCCTTTTTTTCCAAATGAAAAATAGACCACAAACATTCCCTGGTTAGGAAAGGGAAGTGGACTGGGTGGATTTTTTTTCTTTTGATTATAAAATTCTAGCACAGGGTTGCATCACAGATACAACAAGTACCTGTACCATAAACACAGCCAGCGGGGCGGCTGCTAGCTTGCTCTGTCTTGAAAGCGGTGTTTCGCTTCGGGAAGCCCTTCTTCTTTTTCCTTGGCAGATATTGACGGCTTGGAGAGCAGTGCGATCGGGGGCCAGTTGATGGCCTCGGCGTCTGCAGAGTCTCCTTTCACCCAGAGCAGGAGGATTGATGACTCCACAGTGGCAGGTAACGGCGTGGGCCTTCGCGGTCTGAACACACACCGAGCATGTGCTGCCAGCCATTAAGATAGCGTGGAGCGGCTTTTTGTGGTGACATACATGAATTGAGGCTTTGTCTGGGTAGGGAAAGTAAAGTTCCTGAGCCTCACCCAGCTTTGCTGTAACATGCATGAGTGATATGCACAGAGCGAAACACCAGCCAATGCCAGCCATTGACTGCGACCTCCCGTGGTAGAGCTGACCATGCCCGGTGTGGCTAATTTGATTGTATTAGCGGTGTCATGAAAAACAATCACACGATGCTTGATCACATAGCAAAAAGGAAAGATGAGAATTCAAAGAAAGATTAACTGCTTTGGGACTTGTTAAAATGAGAACAAAAATCCCAACCCAGTAATAAAATAAAAGAATCCACAAAGCGGTTAGAAAAGCCTTCAAGGGAAAACCTCGGAAAGCCAAATGGACATTGTGTATTTGCTGGATCTGAAAGGGAAGAGCTGGGCCCTTTTGGAAAAGATGTTCACCCAGTGGCTGAAATGATTAAATGCAAAGAGAAAACGCCACCATACTGAAACACCCCACGTTAAAGTGTCGGTGCTGTCCCGAGAACCAAATATTTGACTGACTGAGGTAGAAAGCAGAACTACCCGTGTATACGCAAGTATAAGCTGACCCAAATATCAGCCGAGGCACCTAATTTTACCACAAAAACTGCATTAAAATGTGCTGAAAAACTCGGCTTATACATGAGTCTATACGGGGAATTTTCTGTCTCAAAAGTAAAACCAAGATTAGGTGGGTGAATGATCATTCTATTTAAATTCCTCCCTACAGTGTTTGAGTGAATGATTATACCACATAACGTCCCATATATTCTGATTTAAAGCTTATTTTTATTTTAAAAATGCACCTGTAGGTGATCAAAATAAATCATGGAAAATTTATGTAACTATAAAAAATAATTTAGTTGTCCTAAAACCTGGACAGATATTCAGGTTATTAAATGAGAAACACAAAGGGGGAAAATACAAGTGTAAAACACCTGTACAAATGGTATAATCACGTTCGTGTCAAACACACCTACATAAAATGATCTGTGTACCTGTACATGAGCTTGATGATAACCCAAGAAATTGACACTGCTTTCAGCTAGTCCAGAGACTAGCCTGGGTAAGGTCAGGGTCAAAGAATCGCATGCCATTCATTGCCAGGTGATGTTGTCTCCGGAAAGTAACCCATGTCCCTTCATGTGTTAGGTGTGGCGTTCGCTCGCTATGTTCTGATTGGCTGCTGGAAGAACTTGATCGATACCCTGTCTACCCCTCTGACTGGCCGGATGGCCGGGAGCTCCAAAGGCCTGGCCTTCATCCTGGGAGCTGAAGGCATCCAAGAGCAGAACCAAAAGGAGCGGGATGCCATCTGCATGAGCCTGGATGGGCTGCGGAAGGCTGCGAGGCTGAGCTGCGCCCTAGGTACCCCTGGGGGGAGTGCTCCCTGAGCCCTGGCCCAGGGCATATTCCCACAGGACACAGTGTTGTGCTTGTTAACTCCCTGCCGCCAAGTTGATTCTCACTCCTAGCGAGACTAAGCCTTTTGTAAAAATTTCCTTGGTGAAGGGGCACAGAGCAGATAGTCCGTTTACCATTCGGCCATGCACACACACTCTCCTTCATCTCGTTCGTTACAGTCCCGCTTCGTCCCTGTGTTTCCCATCTCCACGCCGGCTCCTTTCCCAGCCCTTCTGAACGTTGTCCTTTGGTTTGAAAAATACTGCCCCCTTGGCCCCAAGGAGCCATTGGTTATTCTAAGGTACGCGTGCATCAGTAGCACTGGTGTACTTTCCCCTTTTGTTTGTCTGAAAATGAGCCACAGGGGTGAATTCAGTTCCAGGTGACCGAGGACCATAGGCTCAGGGGTTCCACCAGTCTTTATCCAACCAGCAAGCCCCATCTCCTTCATGGGTGGAGCTTTGTACGACATCTTTGTCCCACTCAGTTCAAGACTTCCCGTGCCATTCCGCAGAGCAGTTCAGTTGTTAGCCGGGCGCCATTTAGTTCTTCTTGTCTCCAGACAAGGATGCTAGTATTTGTATGGCCCATTCATCCATTGGAGTAATGGTTTCTGTGTGTCCGTTTTCGTGTGTCAGTTTCCTCCAGGCAGGGAGAGCCCAATTGTTGTACCTTATGAGTGGTCCAGGAACCTTTAAGACCCCTGTCTCGCAGAAGTAGGATGTTGATACTGTGGACTAGATCTGTATAGGAGCAGACAGCCTTGTCTTTCACCCAAAGAGTGACCAGTGATTCAACTGCCAGCACTAACAGGGCCGTCAGATCACTGTCCACCCATCCTGACTGCATATGAAAGAGCGGAACTGCCCCGTAGGGTTTTCCTGGCTGAAATCTTGACAGAACCCCTTTGCCGGGGGTGGGGTTGGGGGGTTTCAAGCCTTAACTGTTTGCCTCCCGGGGCTCCTTGAACACAGTGTCAATGACCCTCCCGGGAAGTGGGTCTTTTGAAAAGGTTCCTGCTGGGTGAACAGAAAGCAGCTGAACCCAATGAAGAGTGGCTGCTTCCTCTGCAGGAGTCGCCGCGAATTGCGCCTCGGCGCTGGCTCAGATGGCAGCTGCTTCCTGTGTCCAGGAAGAGAAAGAAGAGCGTGAAGTCCAAGAACCCAGCGATGCCATCACACAAGGTAACAGCGGAAGGGCCAGAGTCACCCAGTGTGTTGTAGGTGGCGTGGGCACCCCTGTGCACGCCCACACCTGCTAGCAGACACTGCTCTTCATTCTGGGTGTGATCACGTGGTGTGCCCATGTACGCTTCCCATGACAGGATCCCATGTGGACCACATTCTTGGATCTGGTTTACGTGGCTGGCCCTAAAGGAGACCCCTTAGGTAGTGAGGGAAACGCTAGGCCCTGATGGCACAGGAAGTGCAGTTGACTGCTGACAGGAGTCCAGTGGGACCCTAGAAGGCCCACCCCGAGAAGCAGTTTCCACCGACCAACTGGCTTTGGGGCTTCGTGCACTTCACGTGTAAAGGAAGAGGCAGAAGGGCCAGGGTCCTGGAAGGGGAAACCAAAGAGATGGGGAGTGCCAATGGGGAGAGGTGAAAACTCTTTATCTTAGTCATTAAAGCTGATCATCATCTAGCTATAAAGAGACAACTGAAAAGCTCAGTCCAAATCATTCTTTGACGAGGATAAGTCTAGAGGTATCACTATTAAATCCTAGAAACCTTGACGATATTGAGAAACACCGATGTCTGAAGCTGTTGCTTCTCAACATCTCCAGCTAGGCCTCTGCACCTCCCGGAAGAGTTCCGCACGTTGCAACGTGCACCATGTCGGCACGGCCATCCGGACATCCTCAGGACTCACATCATGAGTCGGGGACAAGGCCATCTCAGGGCTGTGGATGGGGTTAGACACCTCCCCCCGCTCACCTACCCCCAGTGAAGTCCTTGCTACCCTGGAAGACAGAGGAGGTGCGTGGTCCTGATGGAACGACTGTCCTAACCTTGTGCTCACCGGTGCGGTTTCCGCTCTTCAGACTGCGTCCCAAGACGCTCCTGTGGGGGCCGTGTCTGGACGGAAAAGCTCTCAAGATGACTCCTTTGCAATTTCACCCAAAAAGCCGCTGTCCTGACCTTCTGAGCTGACCTCTCTGCCTGTCTGTACCTGGCCACGGAGATCCCCTTGGAAGCCGGGGTCCTGACTGGATCTTTTGTTTGTTTGTTTCCAGGCGACCCTAAGGAAACTTAGGAAAGTGTGTTACTGAAAGAACTTACTTTTCTGCAGCCCCCCAGTGAGTGTAAAGACACAGTTAAAACATGCACGCATGACCTAGAACCTTCGTAGCGTGCCTGCCTCTCAGACTTTTATATCTGACTCATAACTTTGTGTCAGATGTGTGAGCTCACTGAGGACAGAAGTGTACATTCTGAGCTGAAAGAAATGGTGGGCTCAGTTTTCCCCACAGTTGGGTTCTAGCTAGAGACTCATTGGAGTGAAAGCAGGTCCCACATAGTCCCTTTACGGACTCTCACGGTTTTGCGGACATTTGTGAAAGCATTCGCCACCATCAGCAACCCCCTGATCCCAGCCTAGACGCTGCTAAGTGGGTTCTGACCCTGCCGGCGTGTCGTGGCTGCGTCCTTGGGAGGCACGTCACCAGCCTTATCTTCCCAGGGCCCTCTCTAAGTGGGATGGAGCCACCAACTTTTAGGCATTCAGTCATGTGCTTGTTTATGTACCAGAAGAGCCATTTATAACCACCAAACTACATAAATATCTTTACGTTCATAGTTCTTAAACAAAAGAAATGTTAAGGTTCCAACTATTGTTTAGAGTATAGATACATACACCTATATCGCATTCATGAAGCAGGACGTTAGTTAAAAATCCGTTTGCCCTTTTTGTCAGATTCAAAGAATCCACTGAGGTCAGCCTGCTCTGTTCTGGGGATGTGGGCTATCACTCAATTAGCCTCCCATCTTCTAATGGCCTAAAACCTGTATTCACCAGGGGACGCTGCGACCTTTGGCCTTGACTCGCCATTGGGCATCATTTGCACCTTCCATCACCTTCGGCATCCTCTCTTCCTCAGTCTTTGACGATGGAGAAGGGTTATTTAGAGATCACAAGTGCAAACACAGACTCAGGGAGAGAAGCAACGACCTGCTCGGTTCTAAAGCAGGCAGCCAGCCAGGCACTTTCATGATCACCGTCATGGAAGCACGGCCCTAGGGGAGCTTGCCGACATGGCGAACTTGCCGGCACCGAGAATCCTCCTGCAGGACTGCTTTAGTCCTGAGGGTGGGGCCTAGTGAAAGATCTGGGCACCGATAGGTGTAGCTGCAGATGGTCCGTGAAGCCCATCCTCACTGCTATGCCTGAGCCTGATGGGCGCTCAGCCCCCACCTGCTCCCCACTCACCAGCTTCTGAAGCCACGCATCTGGGGTTCCCCCATGCTTGTGGGGCCCATGGGCTTGGGATTTGACATTGTGGACCATAGGGACCTGCCATGGGGGGTAGGGAGTGGGGTGGAGCTTGCTGCCCGTGCAGTTCTTTTTTTCCCCTGCCCTTGCATGCCAACACAGCCTTTCATTCTCACCCTTTCTCTCTCCCTTTCTGTCTCCCTCACTCGGACTGTGTGTTCATCGATGTCTTTCTGGCACAGTGAAACTGAAAGTGGAGCAGAAACTGGAGCAGATGGGGAAGGTGCAGGGGGTGTGGCTGCACACGGCCCACGTCTTGTGCATGGATGCCATCCTCAGCGTGGGCCTGGAGATGGGGAGCCACAACCCGGACTGCTGGCCACACGTGTTCAGGTGCATGGCGGGATTCCTTACCCCCACCCACCCCAAATAGCACTGGCCCTGCTTGGGAAGCCTGTGGGTGGAGGAGGGGTGGACGTGAGAATCAGCCGGCCACTTAATCCTTGATGATCATTCACCAAGTTTGACCAGACTCCAAGTGTGTGTGGGGGGGTGGTGGGGGGTTGGTGGTGCTCAGTGAACGGTTCAAAGAACAAAATGGCAGAGCTGAAGGAGGGGAATGGTGATCTATCCACTGACGTCTGCTGTGAGAGGCACTTGTATCGTATAACAAGGAAGAGATGCCACTGTCTTAAAGAGTGAATGGCCAACACTTACCAGTTGAGTGAATACTTTGTGGATCTAAAAGCCGGCCATGTCTCCATGGTCTGACATTAAACCCCAAAGCCAAACTCACAGCCAATGGGTCGATTCCAACTTCTAGTGCTACTCTGTCACGTTCCTAAGGCTGTAAGTCTCGACGGGGACAGATAGCCTCATCTCTCTCTGGTGCAGCAGCTGCTAAGTTTGAACTGCCAACCGATGGCAGTTCCCTCAGCAGCACCCCCAGAGCTCCTGTAACATCACTCTGTTTCTTATCCTCTTTTGCTTAAAGGCAGGTTTTAGATAGCTTGTATGGATTCATGAAGTAACAAGATGCTAATATGCTTGATATAATTGATGCATGGATTGTTATAAGAGCTCTAAGAGCCCCCAATAAAATGATTTTTTTTAAGATGCGATTTTAAATTTAGGTTGGCAAAGGAAAAGCAGACAATGGGACATCCATTCCAAAGAAATGCCAACAACTTGACTAAGTATTTTAGAACCAACGTCAAAAGAAAACCCCAGTCCATTCCATAGTCATTGTCTTTAAGGTGAAACCCCCACATAACCCCAGAGCCCCAGCTCCTCCCCTCCAACTAACACACAGACCGAGACCATGTCTCCCAAGCACGGCCATTAGGGTGGGCACAAGGGGGTACTGCCGCAAGATGCAGGCACAGGTGGGGGCTGGCAGGAGGGGCAGGTACTGGCTGGATGACCCAGAGCAGCATTCGGGGGCTCACAACCCACCGAGAACACCAGGTGGGCACCTGCAGAGTACACCTGTCCTTGCTGCTGCAGGAGTTAACAAGTCCATTGTGACTCCCTGGGACCCCAGGTAGAACCTGCCCATTGGGTTTCCCAGGTAATCACTCTGGCAGGAGCAGGTTGCTAGATCTTTCTCCCACAGAGCTGCAGGGTGGGTGGTTCGCATTGAGTGCTTCACCACTGCACCACCAAGGCTCCTTCAAAGTAAATAGGAGAAAGCAACCCACTGAGGTCAAGTTGATTCTGGCTCACAGTGCCCAGATAAGACAAACTAGAACTTCCTGGAATCCTCATGGAAGCAGTCAGCCACATCTTTCTCCTATAGAGCCGCCGGTGGGTTCAGATTGCCAACCGCTGAGTTAGCAGCTGGCCATTTGAACCACTGGTGGACATAGCAAAAAATCCCCTGCCACGGGGTCACATAACCTTATAGAGCTGTGGCTTCAACCTTCCTAATGCCTCGACCCTTTCATACATTTCCTCATGCTGTGGTGATCCCCAAACCATAAAATTATTTTTGTTGCTACTTCATCACTATCATTTTGCTACTGTTATGAATCGGGTGACCCCTGTGAAAGGGTCGTTCAACCCCCAAAGGGGTCGCAATCCACCGATTGAGAACCACTGTTATAAAGGGTCTCCAAGGTTGTAAATCTGCACAATAGCAGATGGCCTCATCTTTGTCTTGAGAAGCTACTGGTGGATTTGAACCGCCAACCTGGTGGTTAACTGCCCATTGCCTAGCCTCCATTGCCATTAGGCCTCTTAAAGTAAACATCAACTCCAAACTGACTGCCATCAAATCCATTATGAGCCATGGTGACCCTGCAGGACAGGGTAGAACTGCCCCTGTGGGTTTCCAAGACAGTAACTCATCTTGCTCCTGAGGAGCGGCTGGTGGTTTCAAACTGCTGAAGCTACATTTCAAAGCCCAATACATAACTCCTATGTTACTAGGGCTCCTTAAAGGCAATGTAACTATGAGTAAATTGCCACGTTTCAAAGAGAGAAAAGCACACAGCTGACTCACAGGATGAAAACCCCGTCTTGAGAGGCGCGTGGGAGAGGACCAGGATGATTCACCTGGAGCAGAATGGGGGTGGTGGTGGAGGTCTGTGACCTGCTGCTCCCTACCGCTGTCTCAGGGAAGAGGCAGGGAAAGGCTGAAACTGTGCCCAGTTTGTATAGGCCTGGCATTTCCCCTGCTGATGGAACAGCATGGTGGACTATCAAGGGTGGTCTTTACCAGTAACTGGACTTACTCTGAGAGAGGTGGCCTCTTCTGGACCACTTTAGCCCCAAGGTCTAAAGGGAACAATCAGTTGGCAGTTGGTATTGTCTCAGTCGCTGTGTTTGCCATGATTGAGTGACGTCATCGGTCTCAGCTAACATGAGTCATATGGTACAACCAGGGCCAAGCCCTGTGTGGCTGGGCAGACCCCTGAGAGGGGCCCACTGTGGCCAGAAGGCTGCCTACCAGCCACACAGTTATTCTAGGACCCAGAATAAGCAATGCTCCCAACTCCTGAGTGGAAGCTGTGTGGGGGAAGAGAGATCCCTTAGGAAACTAGCTCAACCAGCCAAAGCTTCACAAAGCCCAGGAGCTAGACCAGACCAGGCAGATGAATCTTGCTGCCTTCCCCACGATAGGGGTTGAGAATCCATGGAATCCTTACCTGGGGACTTACCTAATCCGACTCAGAGAATAAAAGCACAGGTACAGGGAAGAGACAGTGCAGGGAGGGCGGGGCGGAATGGTCTGTCCGTGTTAGGGTAGTCGAGGATCTGGGGTGGCGGACAGCTGGTTGCGTTTCCTCTGTGTCTGTCAGGGACTTGGGGAGCCAGCAGGACTGAGCAGCGGTACCCACCAGCTGCTTGTCTGTGATCTCTGCAGGGTGTGTGAGTACGTGGGCACGTTGGAGCACAACCACTTCAGCGATGGCACCGCACAGCCCCCTCTGACCATCAGCCAGCCCCACAAGGCACCGGGCAGCACTGGACTTCTCGGGGACCTTGAGTGTCAGGACTCACTCCAGGAGCTGAGCCTGCAACAGGGGAGCTCCCTGAGCCCAGCCCCTGTCATACAGCCCCTCTCCATCCAGGAGCTCGTCAGAGAAGGCAGCCGTGGCCGGGCCTCTGACTTCCGAGGTGGCAGCCTCATGACTGGGGGCAGTGCCGCCAAGGCCGTGCTCGCCCTCTCCACGCAGGCTGACAGGTGAGTGGGACGTGCCCCCCTATGCACACCCGGGATGGGCCGCCCCTGGGGACTGTGACCTATTAGCAACACCCACACCCAGGATTCCTATCCATTGTGGCCCCCAGGGTCCACTGGGGCCCCTCTCAAGCGTATTTCTGTGCCACCACATTTGCAATGACATGTTCCTTAAGGGACTAGGAGCCAGGCCACCTGGTGAAAGCTCCGCCCAATAGATATGGGAGTTCCCTTCTGCCCAGAGCTTGGAGTGTAGAACGGCTGGGCATGTGGTCAGCCAGGCCCCATTTCTAGACGGTGCCCTAGATGCAGCCTTTCGCTACATTTATATCCTCCTCAGAGCCAAGCCAAGTGTTCTGATCCCCAGCTGGCACCAAACACAAGCCCCCTTGAATTCACTGGTTTTTTTTAATAGCTGAGAAGTCAGAGCTCATTCCGGGGTTCTGTTCCCAGTCACACATTTTCTGGGAAGGATCCAATTTTGTAGTCCGGTTTCTGATCAGACACTTGAATATACCACAGTCTAAGTGGGGCTCTAGGAGTGACGGGATGTTTTTTATGTTTTATTTTTTAATGTGGCTGGTGCCCTTGAAGTGAAAATCTAGTGGATAAAGCAGACTCTTGTACCCAGTAATAATAGGTACATCGTACCATGCGTTTGTTTAGACTGTCTGCATCGTGTTTTCATTAATCACAGCACACAAATTACCATAATCATTCTGCCATAAAGACTCTGCTGATTTCTTTCCAAGTAATGGATCTGTGTGTGTGTGTGTGTGCATCCAGGCTCTTTGAAGAAGCTACAGATAAATTGAACCTGATGGCTTTGGGAGGTTTTCTCTACCAGCTGAAGAAAGCTTCGCAGTCCCAGCTTTTCCACTCGGTGACGGATACTGTCGACTACTCTCTGGCCATGCCAGGTAATTCTTGCCCTCGGGAAATTGCACCATGAGGGGGGTAGGAGACCGCCCGCGCCTCGGAGACCAGCGGCACCGTGAAGCATGACGCCCACACTCCCTTGTGCCCCATCGCTCTGATGGAGTGCCACGTGCTCTGTTGGGGTTGGGAGATGCCATCGTGTCAGTTCCACCTCTGAGAGACCCAGTCCTACGCCAGCCTCACAGTCCTTACATTGTAGCCTGTCGATCGAGCCACTGCTGCAGGTATTCCCACTGGCACTGGAATAGTGGTTCTGTTACGTTTTGTGATGTAGCTGCTACCACAGGTGCTTCCCATGAAGGTTGGAGCCTTTGTCTATATCATAAACCCGACCACTCACCTCAGATCAGCCAACTAGCAGAGCAGCTAATGTTTCTTTAAGGAAATGGAAGGATGGCTCCACAAACGCTTCCATCCTGGGGAACCTGAAGGTCTAAGTGCAACGCTTGTGCCCTTTGGATCCTTAGTGCAGATTCTAACCTGGGAACCATCGTCCTTTCTCCACCACTGTTTAAACAGCTGATACCATCTTAGCTATAGCAAGCCAATCTCCCAGGGCCCCTCGGACTTCCAGAGGATCTCTGGAATTCCAGAGATTCCTCAAAGGAAAGCTCTGGTTGGAACTGTGCCCCCAGGTTCCCATCCCCTCTGTGACTAGGTCCAATGATTCTGAGTTGGGATTGGATGACATCCATGGTCTTGCTCTCCTGTAGGAGAAGTGAAATCCACCCAGGACCGAAAAAGTGCCCTCCACTTGTTCCGTCTGGGAGACGCCATGCTGAGGATCGTGCGGAGCAAAGCGCGTCCCCTGCTCCATGTGATGCGGTGCTGGAGCCTGGTGGCCCCACACCTGGTGGAGGTGAGCACCTGGAAAATGGGTAGCGGCCAGAACTGCCGGACCTGCTCTACAAACACCCACTGGTTTGGGGACCTCCATGGCAGAGACATCCGGGTTCTGGTGACAGTGCAAGGGAAATCTTCCTCTCCTCCTGCCCCAATTCTCATTGTTCTTTGATTATTCCTTAGGACATCTAAAAAAAATCCTCCAGATGGACAGCGTTACCCTCCTCTTAACTCAGCTACCTTTCACGGTCACGTTTCCATTCTCTGAGACTGGCTCTCCACCTACACCTAGAGCCGAAATAAAAGGAGATAGTTCCTGGTATCTTCCTTTGTAGATGTGACCTTCTGTTCCTGTCAGTCTCTCATTTCTGAAAGCTACATCTACTCAATCTCTCAGCAGGGAAACCATACATCTTGGTTTTCCCAAGAAAATTAAAACAGCTGAATCCTTCTATCACAATTTTACATCTAAAACATCTCAATCAATGGTGACTGGTGGCTCCTCCTCTTGGCGGATGAGAACAATGGTTACCTTGTTGACAGCCATACCTAGTTTTGTACAGCTCTTCAGCTTCTCTCCGCTAGAGATAAAATGAACCACCCACAGAGCTGAAAGACTTAAAACAATAGCCTTTTATTTAGCTGTGATTCTGTGGGTCAGAGTTTGAATTGGGCTCAACAGCCCATGCCTCTGGACTAAACCAAGTTTGGCTAATCTCAGCTGCCCGTGTTAGTGAGGTTGCATGGTTTGTGACAGCTTTGGGTGGGCGAGTGGACGTCTCCGTCCCTCTCCCCTCCTCCAGCAGGCTAGCGCAAGCTTGTTCACCTGACAGCCACAGGCTTCCAAAGAATTGCAAGGGCAACCCTCAATCCCAAGTACTCTTCAGGTCTCTGTTTACGAATGTTTGCACTTGTTCAGTTGCTCAAAGCAAGTCACGCAGGCAGGCTCAGGGTCAGAGTGGAGAAGACTGTTGCAGGGCGGGGATACAAGGAGGGACGGGTCCATTGGAGCTTTTGTTGCAATTGGTCCACCAGGGGAGCCAAGACTCCTCTGATTGCCCTTTGGGACAAAGCTGAGAAATAAGATCGTGAACACCTACCTCTTGGACAAGTTTCTGATGTCTCATAGCCCCCACATATCTACCATCCAAGAAAACGGTCATATCACGTAGGGGAGAGTGACATTACTAAAAACACTTATTGTTCCCAAACATTCATGTGACCGGGTTATTTCTGATCCCTTGGTTGCATTATTAAAAATGCCATGAAGTATGCAGCTCATCTATACTTATCCCTTGGAATATTTGTGATCCCTGCCTTATAACCCCCTGGTGGGTTAGAAAATCCTTCAGGAAAGGATCACAGAAGGCCCTGGATGGAGTGGGAGGAAAATGTGGAAGAGAACTCCAAATAGTTGGGTCGAAACTAGTAGACACCCCACCCCCCTCCCAAACAGACTTGAACTTGATAGAAATTACAGACTGGGACGGCAAGTGAGTATTGATTAACAGGCTTTACTGGGAAATACGACCCTCGAAGTTTTTCCATACTAGAAGGGAGAGCAAAGAAGCAGAGTGAAGGGAGACCTGGGAAACAGGTATCAGAATAGCCTCAGGTGAGAGCAAGCAGGAGTAAGATAAACTAGAGAGAGAGACAGAGGCAAGCGAGCAGGAGCCCAGACCTGAGTGAGAAAGAGAGTGAGGTAGAGAGGGAAACAAAGAAACCCTGCATGCCTATACCCTCAGGGGCGTGGCAAATTGTTAGGTTTGGGAAAACTCTTGATTGGGAAGTTTAAATGGGGGCGGGGCATAAATTGACACACAGGAGGGTCTGGCCCTCTCTCCCTGGAAGAAGTGGGGTGGATAGAATCATGGGACGGAGCCCCTTGTCAGGGCGAGGTGCTGCTCCACGCTCAGCTGGATCCATGAGAACTGCTCTCACCCCCATGCATCACGGGACATCAAAGGAGGAAGTGGGATAGGCCACGGTACCCTGAGAGGGTGGCAGTGGATGTGTGTTAGCAACATGTGTATGAGTTGTTGAATGTAAAGCCCATGATATACTCTGTAAATGTTCACCTAATTGGCAACAACAAATTGGTTGGTTGGTTGGTTGGTTGGTTGGTTGGTTCATCCTTCAGATACCAAAACCTGACTTGGCTCCTCCCTCTCCCATGACTCTTGCAGGCGGCTTGCCACAGGGAGAGGCCTGTGTCTCAGAAAGCCGTCTCCTTCATCCATGACATCCTGACGGAGGTCCTCACTGACTGGAAGGAGCCGCCGCATTTCCACTTCAATGAGGCGCTCTTCCGGCCGTTTGAGCGGATCATGCAGCTGGAGCTGTGTGATGAGGATGTCCAAGACCAGGTGAGTGTGCCCCTCGAGTAAACGTCTGTGGAGCGCAGCAGCGGACACTGTTGTTCGAGCTCTGTCCGCTTGCTTCTTATAAAACTCCTCCGTGGGACCTGAGACAAAGCAAAGTGAGGTAAAACTTTAACACACAGACCACTCGATTTTACAAATAGAAAGCCCTAAGGAATGTACCAAAAATAATTGCTAGAACTAATGAGATTAGCTAGTGACTGGATATAGAATCGGCATACCGATTTTCACTGAATTCCAATAGACTCAAAAAGAAATTATAAAAAAGAGCATGAAACATAATAAAAATAGCTAAGAAAAAATTTAAGCAAAGAAATTCAGTTTGGACACTGAAAACAACAGAATGTTGTTGAGAGAAGATAGAGAAGAACCAAATAACTTAGGAAAGATACCATGTTCCTGGATGGGGAAAGCTCAGTGTTTTTTTTAAATGACAGTTTCTCCTAATTGAGGCAGTCTCTGGTGCTGACATCACCTACTATCATCAAGGGAGTGTGATGTTGGTGGAAGAATAGATATGCAGATCAATGGAATAGTGTGTATGGAAGTAAATTCACATATAAATGTGAATTTATAATCAAATCTTTTACCAAGATGCCATTACAATTCTGTGGAAATGGACAGTGTTTTCAGCAAACAGGGCTTCAATATCCACACTAAAAACTAACTCTGGCCTTTACCTCACACCATACACACACACACACACACACACACACACACCCAATAACAACAACAACAAAAACAAAGTTAATCACAGACTTAAAGAGTTAAAACTATAAAATTCTCATTTTCTAAATTTTCCAGAAGAAATCATAAGAGAACATCTTTGAGACTGGGCCAGGCAAAGATTTCTTAGAAATAATCCATAGAAAGAAAAATTGATGAATTAGACTTCCCCCAAATTTAAAACTTTGGCAAAAGATACTTTAAAAAGAAAAAGACTAACTAAACTCACGCCAAGGCTCAAGCTTTAGCTATAGGACAGCCTACAAAGCTAAAATGCTGAGGAGTTGTAATAATGTTTAGAACAAGCAACCCTTAGGGATCCGAAGAGCCCCATTTGAGGGGAAGAAGCATTAGAGCCAATTGGGAAGAAGTAGATACAACTCCTTTTAGACGTGGTTTAACTGTGTAAGTGTGTGATACGTGAATATTCTATCAAGAAAACTACTTTTTAAAAAGGGGGGCAAGGGGATCAGCGTTGGTCACAGGAAGAAGATCAGAAGGCCGCCATAGGATAGAACGCATGGAGGAAGAGGGAGGCGTGCTGTGACCTTGGGGACAGCCATCAATGTCACATGACAAAATATGTCTGAATTGTTGAGTGAGAAACCATTGTGCTCTGTAGACTTTCATTCAGACCACAATACAAAGTGAAAAAATAAAAGTCAAGCCAAGGGCGAGGGTGAGAAAGTCACTCGCAAGTTTTCCATCTCGTGAAAGGACCTGAGTCTAGAAAGCCTCATGAACGGTAGCGTCTCAGAAGCAGCCCTGCTGGTACAGTGGGTGCGTGTCGACTGCTAACCACATCAGCAGCGTGCACCCCCAGCTGTTCCCAGGGAGCAAGAGGAGGCTTTCTGCTCCTGTAAAGATTTCCATTCTCGGAAACCCACAGG